CCTATATGACACTCAACAGAGCCTTCAGTGCACTATGTGGAATGTAAGGATGGAACTAGATTCTATGAAGACTAATCATGAAAATGGAGCCGTGTGGATCACTCTAATTATATTATCTGAGTATAAAGCATCACAGAATGAAAAGAATGACCCCAGAAAATAACAGAAAACTACCTGTATTGAGAAGTCATTTTAATATTACCTATACACTAAGATGAGGTCCTGAATGTGTGCCACAAAGACAGAACTCAAAGCAGAAGATGAAAACAAATAAAATCAAGGAGAGGTTCAAGCCCCAATTGCAATTGGAAGGAAAATAATGTTATAAATTCAGGAATCAGAGTTGACAAACGGGTGAAAAATAATTTGAAAAGAAAGATGTGGTATATAGAAAAGATGAAATACTACTGAGCTATGAAAAATGATACATCTGGCCATGTGCAACAACAACAATGGAATGCTGGGGGAGGATTATGCTCAGTGAAAAGAATCAGAAGGAAAAAGACTTACTGGATGAATACACTCCTATTGGGACTTTGGAAAAACAAGGCAAATAAACTGACAATACAAACCAAAATAAACCCTAGGAATAGGACTGCAGAATGAGGGTACAAAGAGGGAAGGACAGTGGGTGTGGGAACAAAAGTGGCAGGGGATTCAAAGATTTATGGAGAAGCCCACAATGCACTGGTGGTGGGTATGGTGGTGACAGACATCTGGGGATATGATAATCTATTCCCTGAATCACGAAGAGTGAGGTAAACCCATGATTCCTTGATTCCAAAAAAACTAAGCAATACTGAGAAAACATTGCAACAAAGCAAACTCCCTGAAACTTGTGATTCAGAAAACAATACTAAGAGGTAAATTTAAAGCATTAAACAATTACACTAGCAATAAGAGAGATCTCAGTTGAGCAATGTAAATTCACACCTCCAGGAATTAGAAAAAGAACAATTTTAGCTCCATATTGGCAGAAAGGAGGACATTGAAAAAAAATAAGAAATACATAAATAGAACATTATGACCAAAAAGCCAGTGCTTCTCTATGAAAGGAAGTCTGGATTTTGAAAGATCAACAAAATGGACAAAACCTAAGTTCAATTAAGTAAGAAGGAAAGACAGAGGACTCAAGTGTCAGAGAGGAGACACCCCCAGGTAGAGCAATACTAAGACTTCTCTTCACATCCCAGGGCTCCATTTTTCTGCTATAACAAGATGACCAGCTCGGGCGTAGACACAGCAAGATCTGTTTATTAGGACAGGTGATATGAGATGGCCTGAAGATTCTCAAATTCCCAATACAGTATTGTGTTCAGTAGAGGGGACAGTATAAAAGGTTCTGGAAAAGGATTACTGCAAATACTTTTTCTGACAGCATCTTTACCAGAAATCATTGAAATTTTCATATCCTAAGAACCATTTCTACACCTCTGAGTCCTAGCAATGTTATAGAGAAGCTGGGATTTTGCTTGTAGCAATAACGCTTAAGTCACATATTTTCTTGAATGAGCACTCATACAGAGAGCAGGTTGCAGATCATCCTAAGACAGGAGAAATTTAAGCCATGATGAAACATCATGAGACTTTCCAACAAACCCACACTGTTTTTCTTTAAAATAGGGACCTAAAAGTATACGACAATCCTGGGCATCCCTGGAGCACATCCACATGCGGTACAGGAAACACTGAGGGCAGATGAGGAAATCTAGAGGGATATTCTCCCCACCCAAGGACACCAGATTTCTGTAGGTCTCTAGCACCACGTCCCTGTACAATTTCAACTGCAGGCCCTCGTGCTCCTTGTGTGAGAATTTGATGGCCACATCTCTGAAGGTCAAGGGTTCCTGAAATCAATTACACAGTTACTACATGGCCACCAGCAGAACTCTAAATAGGGCACAAGGTGAAAAGAGAGTTGTGAGGGGCCCCATGGTGGCACAAGGGGTTAAGTCTCAGCACTATGAAGCTATGGACAAGTTTAAGGACAAGCTATGGACAAGTTTAAGCTATGGGCAAGCTTAAGGACAAGTTTGATCCCTGGCCAGGGAACTGACTCACATGGCGCAGCAGACCTCTCCTGTCTCGTCCGCTGCTCCCCTCAGCAGTTTATTTCGGTAGATCTGCCTGTTCTCCCAACTCTGTCTCTGGTGAATCCTCTCACCCTCAAGAACCCTCACCTTTGGCCCATACCTCACAAATTTATATATAAGTAAATAAAATAAATCTTTAAAATAAAGGGGGAGACCTGGTTCTGAGAAAGAATGCCCTTATGCAGTGACATCCATGTTTACACAGCAACAGTCTAATGCACGCACTGAGCCCAGAGGATCACATATGCCCACAAAACCACCGTGGACAGTGACATCAAATCTGACCCAGGGCACATATCTGTACAACAAGGAGGCAGGACAATTGGAAACTCATAGCAGAAACGGAGATGAAAGACTGAAAGGAAATTGTAGGTAATGATCAAATACTAAGCAAAGCAACAACAACAAAAATGATCATTTTTACAGATTTTTTTTTATTTATGCATACAACAACTGGGGTATAGGTCAGAGGTGCGGGAGGTAAGAGGAGTCACCAGAGAGACAAAGTGGAGCACAGAACAGGCAGACTGACCAAAGTACACTGCTGAGGGGAGTAGCGGATGAGACACAAGAGGTCTGCTGCGCAATGTGGGCAGCCTCCTGGCCTGCCAGGGATCAAACTCGTGCTGCAGAGGCTGCGGATAGCTTCACAGCGCTGTGCTTAGCCTTTGCCCCACCAGGGAGACCCCGTTCCCACAGCATTCATTAGAATCATGTATGAACCAGATATAATTCTCTGAGCTTTTAATATATTTATCTTTTATGTGACCATTTCCTCAAACACCCACGATATTACAGACCAGGGTTTTCCCTACAGATCTGAGGTAAAATGAATCAAAGAGGACCCTAAATGAATGAGCACAGCAGGTTTTATAGCCAACAAGAATGGTTTGGTTGAAAAAGGGAAAGACACAGGACATAGTATATAATGTTACGTTTCAATTAATAAAAATGGGACCATATACACACTACATGGATGAATGTAGTCTTGTCAACAAATTCAAGATTATTCAAATACTATGAAGGAATCCGAGCTGTGGGTGATACTGTGTGCATACTTCAAAACCACTATGTAGACATACAATGTGGAATCCATTAGAATAAAAGCTACTGTTTTTGAGTGTAATTTCTCAAAAAAAATGTTACATTATATAGGTTCAACTATTTTAAAATTTTACTACAATTCAATACATGGTAACATTTTTGGTTCATTTCTCTGGAAGTATAAACAAGCCATGAGAGAGAACGTGTGTGAAATGACTGGCATTTCCATTGACATTCACACCAAAAGGAATGAAATAACTGTGACTGTATCATTCAAGTGAAAGCAGGAGGTGAGGGACCTGAACCCTGAAAATTAAAAAAAAAACTCTATTAAAGGAAATAAAAGACACAGAGAAATACAAAGATGTCCCATCGTCCTAGGTGGGGAGAATTAACATCATAAATGTCTTTATTGTCTAGAGCAATTTACAAACTTATGCAATACCTACCAAATACCAAGGACGTTTTTTATAAGGAAATAGAACAATCCCCACATTTAAATGAACCCACAGAAGGTCCCAAATAGCAAAAAATCTTGGGAGAAAAGAAGAAAATGTAAGTAATCATATTTCCTGACATTATTTTACTGGAACAAAACCAGAATCGAAGAGCAATGGAAGGCAACTAAAAATCCAGAGAGCAAATGATATAAATATGAAGAGTTCAATCTTGGACAAAGGAGCTAAAATCATACAATTAAGACAAGACAGCCTCTTTAATAAATAATACTGGGATGGGCCCCCTGGTGCCATAGGGGTTAAGAGTCAGTGCTATCACGGCTATTCCAGGCCAGAGAGCTGACCCACATGTGGCACAGCCGACCTCACCTTTCCCTCTCACTGATTCCCTGAGCAGTGTATTTCAGTGGATCTACCTGTTCTGCTCCGTGTTTCTGGCAAATCTTCTCAAACCCTGAACATCTGGTCTACACCCCAGTTCTTCTATGCATAAATAAATAAATGCATATTTTAAAAAAAATGGTGCAGGGAAACATGAATAATGACTTACAAAAAATAAGAACCAAGACCCATTCAAAACTCCATACAGGGCCTCCCTGGTAGCACAACATATGAAGGTATCCATAGCCACTGCTGCATGAGTTCAATCCCCACGTAGTGAGCTACCCATATGGTGAAGCAGACCTCTCCTGACTCACCCGCTGTTCCCCTCACCAGTGTATTTCAGTCAGTATGCCTGTTCTGTTCCTCACTCTGTCCCTGGTTGTGATACATATTGAATCCTCTCACCCCCCACACATCCGGCCTGTACCCCAGATCTTGTATGCATAAATAAATAAATCTTTAAAAGAAAAACTCCATACAGAAAACTAATTCAAAATGGATTAAAAGTTTGGACATAAGAGCCCAAAGCATGAAGCACTGAAAGAAAATAAAAGGGTACACTACGGGACAGCTGCTGCAAAATGTACGAGGGAACACAACCCCAACACCAAGGGAAACAAAAGCAAGTTTCACAAGTGGGACAACACCAAATCTAAAAGCTTTTAGAACTCAAAAGAAACCAGCACAGAAACAGAAATGCATCCTATAGAATAGAACACATGCAACACATCTGGCAATGGGTTCATTCCAAAATTTGTAATGTTCCCACCCAGTGCGAAAAACCAACCAATGAGTCAATTGAAAAGGGCAAAGGAAATAAACACTTTGCTAAAGAGGAAATTCTAAGGTCCAACAGACATAGGAATGTTCACCTTAATTTATTGTAAGAGAAATGTCAAAACCACACTGAGATGCCACCTCAACACTTGAGAATGGTCCAAATAAAAAAGAGTGAAATGAACAACGCTGGAGAGGGTGCAGAGAAAAGGGAGCTCTCACCCATGGCTGGTGGCCATGAGAGTTGGACAGTGCCTACAGATAATGGGGCAGAGATTTCTTAAAGAAATAAAAATGGAAATTTCATATGTCAGCAATACTTCTACAAGTTATTTATCCAGGGCCTCCCTGGTGGCGCAGGGGTTAACATGCAACCTATGATGCAATCCGCAGCCACTGCAGCACGAGTTTGATTCCTGGCTGGCCAGGGAGCAACCCACATGGCGGGACAGACCTCTCCTGTCTTGCCTACTGCTCCCCTCAACAGTGTACTTCGGTCTGTATGTCTGTTCTGTTCCTCACTCCGTCTTTGGTGAATCCTCTCGCCCTCCTGTGCATCTGGACTGTACCCCAGTTCTTGAATAAATAAATAAATTTTAAAAAATAAATAAATAAAAATTTGAAAAAGAATGAATTAAATCTTTTGGAAAAAATCAATCGACTTTATTAAAACCTGCATTAGGTTCACATATAGTCTAAATATTTACATATCACTGTATGCTCCATATTGAAAATAAAAATGCAGGCATTTAAGAAGCATTCTTGTTCTTTTGAAGCCAGGATCCCTAAGTTGGTGGTCAACAGAGTCATTACTTAGCTACTGTGCATGCACAAATTCTATGCCCAGTACGGGACAGTCACCTGTTCTGTCATCATGTGTCTGTGAAGATTTCTTTTGGCAATGATATCAAATAATATTCATCTCTCTATTACTTCCATAAAGAAACATCACAATTTTAATAAACTGTGCATTTCCTCAAGGAGTCCATCGTGATATGATTTGACATTTTCCTCTGTCTGACTTCAATGGCAACATTAAGGCCCAGAACACTTCTTGGTGATTTAGATCAATGTTTTGAGTCAACCAGAAGCAGCGTGTCCATTCATATGTTCCTGATACATGGCACATTACTGTCCTAAATTTACCCTGCAAGTTAGATATAAACAAATCCATCAACTAGGACAGTCTCTCAGATGTTTGAGGCAGCAAAAAAAAAAAAAAAAAATCAAACACCTGACTTCACATACACAAGGGGACAAAGCCAGAGAATGAACTGATTTAGAGCAGAATTATATTCATCACCTCTTCATAATATCTCAAGCATGATTGACAAAAAGTACGTGGAATGTAATTATACTGGTCCCCAACACATCATCTTGGACATTTAAACGATACTAATACATACTTAGTGCTTTCATGTTGGTTTATGCTCCATAAAAATATCTGATTTAAATATCAGTGAAGTTTTTGAATTATTATTGTACTGCAATTTTTAAATGTATACTTAGAGTTGATTATTCTATGACAACTTAATTTTCCATATATTTATTTCTTCAAAGTATCATGCTAGCATGAAAATGGTGGTTGCAAAATATCTATTCGTACAAACCACTCATCACTTTACATTTGCAGGTTTCTCCCCAGTGTGCATTCTCAGATGTGCAGAGTGATTTGACTTCCGGTTAAACAGTTGGCCACATTCTTCACATTTTGAACATTTCACTCTTACATGAATTTGCCGATGTTGAGCAAGTTTTGCCTTCTGCTTAAAGGCTTTGCTGAATTCTTCACATTTATAAGCTTTTTCTTTCACATTTGTATGAATTCAGTGACGATGAGTAAAACTTGACTGCTGGTTAAAGGCTTTCCCAAATTCTTCACATCTGTATGTTTTCTCAGCATTATGAACCCTCTGGTGTTCAGAAAGGTGACACAGGTAGAGAAAGGCTTGACCACAGCATGGACATGTGTAAGCCTCTTCTCCAGTATGAATCCTTACATGTTTAGTGAGCTTGGATGCCAACAAAAGGCTTTACCACACTCTTCACATTTGTGCCATTTCTCTCTCTGATGTTGAGTGAGTCTTGAGCACCATTTGTTAGCATTGCCATATCCTTTACAGTTGCAGGGATTCTCCTGAAATGTGTGATGTTGGAGTAGTTTTGAGGACTCCTCAATATGATCCCAAGTAGATTTTTTTTTTTATCTTCCCATTCGCATCTCTGATGTTGAGTACTATTTGACTCAAAGTATACACCTGTCCCATATTCACAATGTACTGAATGATTATTGCATGATGGACTATGGGGCAGCCTACATGTTCTGTCTTCTCAGAGAATATGTATTATTAAAAATCTGATAGAGATCTCTGCTTACAGAAACACCCTTATCTATGCAAGGGACAGACATAAAATGCGGCTTGACCCAAGACATTTCACACACATGATCTCTTCTTGTGGGAAGAGTTGTATTCTGGGTCATTGTTCCAGCTTGGCTATCTTCATTGCAACAAATGTTCTGCCCTTCAATGGATCTTTGGCGTGTCTGGTCTTCCACTAATTGCAAATTCTCAAAGGCACAGATTCCATCTCCTCCCAGTTCCATATCTGGAAGCAAATCTTCTGTGCCTGACTATGGCATGAGGACTTGGATGTCATGAGAAGAGATGACTGGAAGAAAGCAAGTGACTATTTACCACATTTACAGCACTCAAGACAAAATACATTAAATGCATAGTCTATAAAAGTAACATCAAGTAAAGAACATAGGCATGATGTTAGAATAGGTAACACTATGACTTTGCTCTTCCTATAAAGCCAAAAGGATTCTAGACAGCAACACAAAAGTTTATGAAAAGGTACTGTCCTTAGGGAAAGGTAAATACAAAGAAAATATACAAAATTGCATGATACAGTCCTGTAGTAAAATTATTGATTCTTCTTGAGCATTTGGAAAAGCCACATCAAAAATACCCATGGAATTATGTTCTGGAATACACGATGTAGAGAGATGTTGTGATGGCAACAATGTTGGTGTAGGGTAGGAATGTTAAAGAGTTGAGTTTCATGTGTGCAATTGAAATTACATTCTTTTCAGTCTAAAAGGTTTCATAGCTTTTCAATATGGCACGTAATGTACATTATAACAATAAAGACACCAGGAGAACACATGGGAGGGAAATGAACATGGAGCATGATGTCCTGTGCACACAGGCTAGATGACAATACTGTACACAATAAATAGTATTATGAATCAATATACCTCACTAAGCATAAAAAATATGATGACATATTAGGCAAAAATCACCAGACAAAAAAGGAGAAAGGAATAAAAGCATGTCACACAAAGTCAAATAAACACAGAGATGCAATCGAGAAGAAATGAGGTATGAAAAAGGCTGATCATAAAGGAAACATTTTTAAATAACAATACCTGAGTCTCCCTTTCTGTAATTAGTTTGTTCATAAATAAAAAAATTCCACACTGAAATGACAATGTGTCTGAATGAATAAGAAAACGACACCAATACAATCTTATCCATATCACACCCACCAAAGATTTACGTGCACCATGAGGAATGGAAGATGGAACTATATGCTGGGAAAAGTGATAATCAAATATGGAGCTGTGTTGAACACACTAATATCAGAAGAATATAAACTGAGTCAAAACCATCACAGAATGTAAAGAAGATCACAACAATAGAAAATGACATATTTTGGGTAGTCATTAAAAATATTCCACATGCACTAACGTGAGGTCGCTGAATGTGTGCAGACCACACAGGCAGGACTGAATGCAGAAGAGGAAGACAATACAATTCCAGGAGAGGTTCCAGCCCCAACTGCGATTAGAAGGAAAATGATAATGTAAGTTCAAGAAGGTGAGTTGACCACTAGGGCCAAATTTAAATCTGAAAGCAAGATGCACTTCACATACACGATAGAGTAGAGACAGCTAAGCTATAAAAAAGGATGAACTCAGGCTATTTGCAACAACAGGATGGAACATAGCAGGAGCATAGCTAATGTAGAAAATCAGGAGAAAGACACTTGCTGGATCGCTTCACTCCAATTTCAAATCTGGAGAAAAAAAGAAAGGAACCAACAAACCAGAACAAACTCCAAAAATATGACTGCAGAATTGTGGGTATTACAGAGGGATAGAGAGTGGGTGTGGGTACAGAGGTGGGAGGTGTTCAAAGATCTATGGAGAAGGCCCACGAGTGCACTGGTGGTGAGTGTGGTGGTGACAGACCTCTGAGAAGATGAAACTCTATTCCCTAAATCAAATGTTACCTCGATTCAAAAATTAAAGAATATATTGAAAATATGGAGATGAAACAAATTTCCCAAAAACTGTGGACTCAGAAAACAATAAGATGTAAATTTCAAGCACTGACACACTAACAATAACACAGATTTCAGCCATTTAAATTAACTCCACAACTCAAGAAACTAGAAAAGGAGCAATCTAAACTTTAAATTTCCACAAAGAAGGACATTTCAAAATAAAGAAGAAATACATAAACGTAACATGATGGCAAAAATGTTTGGGCTTCTCTATGAACAGAAGTCTGGAATTTGAAAAAAACAATAAATTTAACAAAATAATAGTTCAATTCACTAGAAAGGAAAGGCAGAAGACCAAGAAAATCAGAAGTGAAACCCATAAAGATATTTCCTTAGTTTTTATGTCTCCTCGGCACAGGCTACAGTCATCTGTAGATGTTTTCAAAGGCATGTACTTCCCTTCATGGTAGGGAGAGACCTTTCTGTCAATTCTTATTTAAATGTTATATCACACGCTGCTCAGAATGACAGCATATGCAGCAAACTCTCCCTCATCTTTTGTCCAACTTTCTCCTGCTCATCGAAAGGAAAAAAGTTCTGCATCCAGCCTGTGGTCGTCACTGTGAAAGGCTTTCTGCACATCCTTCTGACATCAACACTCCTTGGCTGCTACTGGAGTCCCTGCAATACTTGGTACCTGTTTCTATGTAATTCATAGCAGCTCAAGTTTTTATCTAGGATTTAGTTGTACTGTATCATCCTTTCAATGATGCTTTTGCTTTCTTCCAGATGATTACCACAAGAAGGCGGAATTGCACAAATCAAACTCCTCCCAAGTTATGAGCCCCCAACCTGAAACTCTTGGTTCCATGGCTTTAGAAACCACAACCTTAGGTTTCCCCTCCCATGTCAGAACATCCCATCCCTCACTGAATGATTTCTGGTTCCTCCTCAGTTTCACAAAGGCTGACTGAAATCCACTGCTGAGGGGAGCAGCAGAAGAGACAGGAGAGGTCTGTCGTGCCATGTGTATAGCTCCCTGGCTGGTCGGGGATGGAACTCATGCTGCAGAGGCCACAGATAGCTTCACAGTGCTGTGCTTAATCCCTTGCACCACCAGGGAGGCCCACATTTTCCTTTCTCACAGCATATCACTTCAACAAAGCAAAGACCACTTCTGTGATTACTGTTCTTATCCCCACTCATAGATAATTTATTACTGTCAAAAACTTCCCATGAACATACTGAGTGAAAAAACAAATGTCTGGGGCCTCCCTGGTGGCACAGTGGTTGAGCGCTGGGTTGGGAAGCTGCCCGCAGCCTCTGCAGTGCTGGTTCGATCCAGGGCTGCTCCCAGGCCACCAGAGGAGGGTCCCACATGGCGAACAGACCTCTCCTGCTGCCCGCTGCTCCCCTCAGCAGTGTACTTCGGTCCTTCTGCCTGCTCTGCTCCCCGCTCTGGCTCTGAGAAATTCTCTCACCCTCCCGCGCTTCTGACTGTACCCAGTGCTTGTATAAATAAATAAATTAATCAATTAAAAAAATGCCTGAATAAGTACCTTAAAGAAAACTGTCCGTGAGAATAAACTAATAGAGAGAACACAGAAAATGTGACTGCTGCAGAATAATTTCCTGCAGTATCAGGGACTGCATACTGGTGAAGTCCAACATTGACAACCATTAAAAAAAGAGCAGGAGTAAATCTAGGAGAGAGTTTATGTGGAAAGTGAATAAAGAATCACTTCAATAAATGCAGATAAACCGTCCAAGGTTTGGACACTGGAAAAGTAGCACAGTGTGGCCAATATCACTGGCCACTCTCCCAGCATCCTGCTAGCCTCCTGCCAGGCAAGCACTGACTGACCTGAAAGTTTCTGGCTTGGGGCTTCCTCCACAGTCCATGGCTTTACTCCCTTCTCCAACCTGATGCTCTCCTCAGGATTGGTAACAAATGTCCTATGATGAGGAGCAGTGTTGGTTCAGTCAAGTTAAACTTCAGTTTTGAAGACTAACAAAAGCAGTGTTAAGAGCTGTGCAACGAAGGTCAACTAGAACTTTTCAGAAATTGGGCAAACACCCACAATCTAGTCTGTTTGCCATGTTCAACCTCACCACCACCCAATTTCACAAGAAAGACCACACTTAATCAGTGTAGAAAACAGCACTTGCACTCGTGTTACACTGGAGCTTCCTCACAGAGGGACACCAGGTGACTGCAGGTCTCCAGCATCACATACCGGTACAGGGTCCTCTGAGCATCATTCAGGTCTTCCCATTCCTGCCAGGGGAAGTTCACAGCCACATCCTCCAATGACACCATCTCCTGTGAGGGAACATTTCTCCTCATTTCAGGGCCGTCAGCCTGGGTCACACAGCAACAGTGTAAACACTCCTTCTTGTGCTCTTGTACAGGAGGCACCATCTTCCTACTCACACTGTGCTGTGAACAGAATTCTCAGGGGAAATAGTCTTACCTCTAGATTAACCCATTTGCTCCTAAAAGAACCACAATAGTTTACCATACAAATTTGGAAGTGTCCTTGAGTCTATGAATACAAGGATGAATAAAATCTTCTCCTTGAAGAGCTTATCACCTGGTTGGCAGGTAGAATAACACATACGTGGAATAACATGCTACGTAGTGGTGTGAAAAGCCTGCTGAATGCAGACACGGTACAAAAGAAGAAAAACCAACACTTTGTAGTGTTGGGTTACACATCACTGAAGACCCAAACGCTTAGCTCTTCCTTGTAAATCACACTGTCATGAGGATGAGACAACAGCAGATGTCATAGAGTGAGAAAATGAAAAACACTCGCCATGATAACTGAGCTGCAGAGAGCACGCTGCCAGGCAGAGTCCCCAGCAGGAAGGCAGGAGAGTCAGTGAAAGTATTCTGGAACTGAAGCCAGTCAGCTTTTATGAACTGTGGGACATGTGAGCTGAATTCACCAGAATAGAAGGATATGCGGGGTCTCCCTGGTGGTGCAAGGAGTGAAGCACCTCAGATCTGCCTTTTCTGCTCCCCACTCTGTCTCTGATGAGTCCTCTCACCCTCGCACCTCTGGCCTGTACCCACCTCTTATATTCATACATAAATAAAAATGAATCTTTTAAATAAATCAAGCTTGAAGGGGAGTTAGGTATTTGGGGGAAATATACTCACTGGGCAGCAGGCTGAGCCACACAGCAGGACTGGAGTGGACAGGCCCGACACAGGAAGGTGAGGGGCCAACGGCCTCCCCTCTTCACCAGGTGAGTATCATGGAGAATGAAAAAGACAGGGGGAGTTGATAGGTAAATTTCCATCTGGTAATTACCAAGAGGCTGAGCTGCCCCAGCACGTGCATTAATCGGATGCAGGGGTGTGAGCCTGTGTGGACCCTGGGGAGGACACTCGCGGCTCTACAGGCACTTCTGTGACAGGAGGATTACATTTACTGGGCGCTCCTGGGAGTCAGACGGAGGGGCTCCGACAGGCAGGTGGAGGTTGACCTTTTGTGAGACTCATTTCCACGAATAAGAGAACATCCCCGTGAGGAGGCATCCAGGTTCTCACGTTGGAAGAATTTGTCCAAATCTCTCCATCCCTTATCAGAGGGAGAGGCAGCCCCTTAGGACTGCACCACTCGCACCCTTGTAGCTGGGCTTCCCACTGCCCCCCAGGGCTGACCCCCATCCTCTGTCCTTTCTCTGGAGTTGAAGATGTCATTGCACAGGGGGCAGAGACCATGTTGGTGGGTCACTCAGTGTTCCTGGGTCTTCCCCAGGCGAGCGAGGAGGTGTCCACGTGTACTCAAGTGTATTTTCTACCACTGATGCCCTTTATTCCGGGAAGGTCTCCATGGAGAACCGCAGGGTAGATGAGATGATGTTTCCTCCCAGGATCCTGGCGCAGACCCAGAGGAGTATACAGAAGGGGAGACAGGAGGGGCTTCAGGACAAACCCAAAGGGAAGGGTTGACCCAGGTGGGGAGTCCTCAACACGTGCTGGGGAATCCAGGGCGAGGCCCCCCAATGAGCAGAGAGAAAAGGGACCTTAAAGGTATTACCCCAGGAGCGAGAGGAGGGAAAGCCGAGGGAGACAAGGAAAGGGAAGACGCGCGGCAGCAGCAGGTGGCAGTGTTGGGGCAGACCCAGAGGCACCCTGAGACCCCAGACCCTGCGCACCCTCCACTGGCACTGCCATCTGTTGCGTGCGGAGCAAACACCCCCTCACGTGAAAGCCCTGCTGTGGAAAACAACAGGGTTGGTGTGCAAGGGAGAGGAGAAAGGACAGGGTTAAACAGTTTCCAAGGAATCAAAGCCTCCCGGGCCTGCAGGGTCAGTCCCATAACCCCTACAGTGATGACCCCAGCTTTGGGCACCGCCTGCGGCATCCTCTCTGCAAGTCCCCCTCCAGGGGCTGTGGGGGAAGCGGACACACCTGACTTGCCCTCAGGCTACAGAATTTTCGGGGACTTGCTGTCGGGGTCTCCGCCATCTCGCATGTCTGTCCTGGAACGGACCTGCCCCAACAAGGGGCCTGAGCCACGAGGGGTCTCTGTCCCCCCCCCCCGGCCTCTTTCATTCCTGACCATGCTGCAGTGATCCCCGGACCCACTGCGGGGACATCCCTGGGGCAAACACCTGCCCAAGAGTGTGGCTTCTGCACGGGAGTCTCCAGCTGGCCAGGGATGTCCACGGGAAAGCGGAAGGGGAGACCCCAGCAGGTGGCACCTCCGTGCACCCCTCCACCTGCAAGGGAGAAGAATAGCCCCCCCACATGCCACTGTGGTCCTAGATTCAGTGCAGGACAGGCCCTGGAGAAAAAGCTGGGTCAAGAACACCGACTCCCACACCCCTGAAAGCAGGAGCTGAATCTCCCCTGCCCGGGGCTGCCCCAGGGAGAAGGGAAATCACAGGGGTCTGCAGGTCCGTCTCCCCTGATCGGAGCTGGCGCCCCCGACCTTCCCCGTTTGCTGTCCCCCCAGAGCCTTCCCTGCCCCAAGGGTGGCGCCCACTGTGGTCCAAGGACCCACCCGGAGTCTGCTTGTCTCTCCCTGGAGAAGAGATGTGTGTGGGGACGGGACACCTGACGCCCCCCACTATTCGAAATTCCTTCCCGGTTCGTGTGCATCACAGGGTTGGGTGGAGGCTCCTCTGCACTTACCCATCAATTTCTCTCCCACAGGATTTTCTTCTAATGCCGCTGGGAGCAGCACTTGGAGCCCCCGCGCCATCTTCTGGCCAAGACAGATAGTAGCTGTTTGAACAATGAGAGCGAAGGATTGACATTTTCCCAGTTAGCAGAAGTTACCGAACAGCTCTGAAGACCCATTGCTCCTCCCCACTGAACGAAGGTTTGCCCCGGTGGCCTGGCTGCTGCATGCAAGGTGGGTGAACTGCAGCGTGCCCTCAGCGAAGCGTCACCGGGCAGTGGGGCTCAAAGCGCAGACTGAATTTTCAGGGCATCCCTTCCTGCCCCCAGGGATCTGATGGAAACTGTTTTTGAGCCACAGATCTTGGAAACAGCGAGAAGGATGGGACCAAGGCCCACGTCGGAAAACGTCTTTAAAAATATTTTTATGGGGCCTCCCTGGTGGCGCAGGCAGTTGAGGGCCGCACCATGAAGTAATCCGCAGCCTCTGCAGCACGGGTTCAATCCCTGCAAGTCAGGGAGAACCTCACACGGTGCAGCAGACCTCTCCTGTCTTGTCCGCTGCTCCCCTCAGCAGTGTATTTCAGTCAATCTGCTGTTCTGTTCCCCACTCTCTCTGGTGGATCCTCTCAACCCCTGCATCTCTGGCCTATACCTCAGCTCTTGTATGCATAAATAAATATTTAAAAAATCATTTTATGGTGCCTCCCTGGTGGGGCAAGGGGTTGGGACACAGGCTATGGGGCTGTCCATGGCCACCGCAGCACAGGTTGGATCCCCGGCCAGGGAGATACCCAGGTGTACAGCAGACCTCTCCTGTCTCCCCGATGCTCCCCTCAGCAGTGTATTTCAGTCAGTCTGGCTGTTCTGCTCCCTGCTCTGTCTCCGTTGAATCCTCCCACCCTCCCAAGCATCTGGCCTGTACCCCAGTTCTTGTATAAAAATAAATAAATCTTTAAAGAATAAACAAATGGATAAATAAATAAATAAAAAGGTGGACTGCGGTCCACTCTAACTTGACTTTAAATCTCACCCAACTTTCCTGAGAGTCTGACTAGCCTCCCAGTGATCATGCTCACAACACTGTCCCTAACTAAACTAAGAAACTAGTAGTTTTCACTGGCCTTGCGACTCTGCACACACAGCAAGCCAACCCTCCCGCAGAGTTCCTGGCAATGTGCCTTACTCCAGCATTTCAGGGCTCCCCGGGTGGGTGTTGCCCTAACTAGGGACACACGGGATTTAGAACAGCTCCTCTGCTAGGAACAAATATCCCACCAACATTCTTTTTAGTCTAACAGCACTCTAAAAATGGGTTGCTTCCCTGGTGAAATGTACTCTCATGTCACAACCCCAAAACTTGCTAGCTATTTTACTACTGCTCGTCTTGTTACTAAGCCTACCACTCAGCGGCTGGCCGCAATGACTTTGCTACAGGGCAGGGAGAGGGGCAGCCCAGACCCCACAAACCTGTCTGCTCTAAACAGGTTCTGCCATCCTGCTTCCTTCCTTCCTCAGTCTCCTCTGCAGCTTCTTCTCTCCCTGCTCAGCTCCACCCTCCCTACGGTGGGGCAGGGAACCTGGAACCTCCCCCTTTCTGGGGACCCACCTTACAACTTCACCTGTGATCGAGGGCCCTTAGCCGCTGCTGTACTTCTCATTCTCCTCTTTAAATCTTAACATACACAATCTCCTACTCAAATTTGTTTCTTCTAACCTAGGGGGAGCGCCTCAAGTTTAAACTCCTCCTCCCAACAAATAGCTCACCCGTACAAGAGGATCAGCCTGTCCAGATGCCCCACCCTTGCACTCCAGATGCCCCCCCCCGCCTCCTCCCAGAACCACCAACAGACAGCTCAGGGACTAGTGTTAGGGAGACCATCTCCCAGGCCCTTGGAGGTAGGGCCAGCTCTACATCCCTCTCCAGCAGGAAGCAGCTATGGAAAATGAACCTCCTCCCTGCAACTCCCCAAAAGATTTTGGGCTGGATATGGTCATGGGGGGATGATGGAGGACAAGAATGGAAAGACTGGAAAGGATGTGCCCCAAGGCCAAAACCTGACTCACACAAGGAGGTGGGGGTTGAGGAAATGCACAAGACCCTTAACCCAGCTGTGGAGGACGGACCCTCAGGCGCCAGCACCTTGTCACGAGGCAGGAGAGGCGAGCAGGATCCGATGCTCTAGGGAGTGGGACACAGGCCTGAGGGGAAGGATGTGGAGACGGGGCTTACGCTGGAATCTCTGGTCCCTTTTCTAGCGCTGCCTGTTGCCCAACATCTGCAACAAGCAGCCGCTCCACGGAGGAGTGAGCCTCCCATGGAGAAAGGGACTGTGGCAGGGCAGGCTCCGCACAGGCCTGGGGCAACCGTCCCCCTGCCCGCCCGTGACCATGCAGGAGGCTCTTCTCACCAGCTCTCGCCTCTGCGGGGCCGCAGCCTCCTGGCTGGTGGCCTGTACCTGCCAGGACGTCTCCACTGATCTCCCTCAGCGGTGTCCGCTCTCCTCAAGGTCGCCCGCTTGCAACCGTGCAGGCCTCTCTAAGCAAATCTGTCCCCTTCCCTTTCCCTGAGAAACCAGCCCTTTAAACACAACTAATGTCTCCGTCTCGTGGAGAAGTGATCTGGGAAACTCCAGGGTGCTGCTTAAACAGGGTCTGGGGAAACATTTCCCAGAGTGAACCCCAGGACCTCGCACTCCAAAAACCCCATCACACCCACTCTATTCCCCCGAGGCCCACGGAAAAAAAACCGCAGTTCTGGAAGGACACTAGGAAAGATCTCTGGCGCCACCTAGTTCCCAGAACAAAATAACCACCTTCCTGATAGTGGGAAGCCAGGGATCCCAAAACCACCCTCAGGTGCTGAGAGGGGCTGGGCCGCGCCTACAGGGTAAGAAGGGATACCAGGCTGGAGCAAGACCCCATCCTGGAGCTGAGAGCCAGGTGCAGGAACCCGGGTGTGGATGCGCCCTAGCAGCGGGCACTGCACAGGGTGACAGCCAGCGTTTTGGACCTGACAGCCCTGGAACTGAGACCTAGAGTGAAGCATTCAGGGGCGGGATCCACACAGCTGCGGGCACAGCGCCAGGTGAACACGCGGCAGACACAGCACCCGGCTTGAACCACAGCCCCTGTGTTGAGGTGCCCCCCCCCTTTTCTCAGAGAACCACTGGGGAAAAGCACAGGTCAGCAAGTGCAGGTCTCTGGCGCCACCCGGTGACCAGAAAAAAGCCACGGACGAGCTGATTCCCTGCTGGAACTGAGTAAACACAGAGGGTGGGAACCTCAAGGGGCAGAGCCCAGCAACAGGGCATCAGCGCCCTGGTGGTGTTTTGGTTCGCGGTGCTGGACTCAGTCTTGTGAACAGATGTAAGCAGGTTGACTATGTGTTGAGGACTCTCCAGGCCAACTATATGGAACTTAAGCATCTGTGCACTTCTGCTATCTGCTGGGGGTGTGGGGGTGTCATACCTAAATCCAACTCCCCCAGATACCAAGGGATGACTATAAAGGTTCTGGGGGCTCAAAAGTCCTACATCGATTTTTCACTGCTCAGAATCAGCGCCCCAACCCCATGTTACTTAAGGGTCAGTCAACTGTAAAAGCAAAACCAATCATGAGAGCTGAAAATACATGTGGTTCTGCTGGCAGGACAATCACAGACGCTGCTACTACAACTGTAATTTGATGCCACCATTAAATAAAATGCTAAATTTCAGTTAGAATTAGGGAAAATCAAGATGCATTTTACCTCTTCCCTGATTCCATACTTCTGTCCTATTGAAGGATAAAGGGTTGAGTTCAGTGAACAGGGAGTGTTCAAGGTGGGGAATCTGAGCAGGTTGGAGACCAATTCCAGCTAGATGTCGTGTCAGGGATCTCAGCAGGAGAGGACCGCCTTGGTGAAGTTTTTCAGAGGGCTGAGGGGAAGTGGAGCCAGGTAGAAGTGAGGAAGACACAGACACCATCTCTCGTGCAAGTACCTCCTCCTGAGGGTCTCAGCAGGTCTTTTTTTATACCTTAAGGCCAGCAGTGAGATGACATCAGCATAAGCATCAAAGCAGAACATAGACAATCATTACATATTTTCTCATGAACATACAAAGACCCTCTTGATCTCATACTACAAAAGGACACATCCTTAATCTGATTAAGAAAATCTACAGGAACAATGACTCCCTTAGGTACTCTTTTTCTAACGTAATCCATTGTCTAAGACAGTACAATGTTCAGTAACAATCAATCACCCTGTCAAGCCTTCCTAATTTCTGAGTGGACATGAAAGTCCATTGTTATGCTGTATTACTAAAATCAACCCATTCCCTGGTACTCAATTCCTCTAGCCCATTATCAATTACTTCAAAGTGATCTAAAGGAACTCATCAATACTCTTCAGTTCTACAAAAATCTAACTTCTGGGCCTCCCCGGTGGCACAGCGGTTGAGCACTGGGTTGTGAAGCTGCCTGCAGCCACTGCAGCGCCGGTTCGATCCCAGGCTGCTCCCGGGCCACCAGAGGAGGGTCTCAAATGTCACGCAGATCTCTCCTGCCGCCCGCTGCTCCCCTCAGCAGTGTACCTCGGTCCTTCTGCCTGCTCTGCTCCCCGCTCTGGCTCTGGTGATTTCTCTCACCCTCCCGCGCTTCTGACTGTACCCAGTGCATGTATAAACAAACAAAAACAAATAAATAAAAAAAAACATGCTTCTTTAAAAAAACTCAATGAGCATTATTAATATATATATATATTTATATATATATAAAGTTCACATATAGTCTAAATAAGACATTTAGATAGCATTGTATGCTATTTCATAAAAGTCAGGATTCAGGTATGTAAGAAGCATTCTGGACCTTCTGATACCAGAATCCCGTAGTGTCAAACACAGAGCCTCTTTAATTAGCTAATGTGAATGGATGAGAATTCCATGCCCTTTTGTGAAAGTCACCTGCTCGTTCATCATGTGCCTGTGAAGATTTCTTTTGGCAACAACATCAAATAATATTCATGATCTCTATTACTACTCTGAAGAGACATCAGGACTTTAATAAACTGTCAATGTATTCCCTAAGGACAAAAGGATGAAACGATTTGAACTTCAGCATGTTTCTCTAATTTCTATGCCAATTGGGTGATTTACATCAATCTTTTGAGTCAACCAAACAGCATATCCATTCACATTTTCTTCATACATGATATATGACACCACCTTAAATTTGCAGGAGCAAGTCAGATGTGAGCAAATCCATCCATTAGAGAAGGATCCCTTAGATGTTTGAGGCAGCAACAATCAAACACATGATGTGACATACATGAGTAAGTCATAGAATGAAGTAATTTAGGCGTGAATTACATTCATCATGTCTATTCATATCTCAAGTATGGCTGATGAAAAAGGACATAGAAAATAACTATACATGACCCAAACCATTGTCTTCAAGTTTTATTTATGTTTTTTAAAGATGTATTTTTATGCATACAAGAACTGGGGTATAGGCCAGAGGTGAGGGGCGTGAGAGGATTCACAAAAGACAGAGTGGGGAACAGAACAGGCAGATCCACTGAAATACACTGCTGAGGGGAACAGCAGGCAAAACAGGAGAGGTCTGCTGCTCCATGTCGGTCAGCTCCCTGGACAGGGATCAAACTTGTGCTGCAGTGGCTGCCAACAGCTTCACAAAGCTGCAACTTAACCCCTTGCACCACCAGGGAGGCCTCCTGAACTTTTAAATTATGCTAATATTTAGTGTTTTAATCTTGGTTTATGCTCCATGACCATATTCTCATTTTAGGTTATGTCTGGCCAAGTGGAATTAACTTACTACTGCACTGCAATGTCTCAATATGCATCTAATTTTCATTATAAATTACTTTCTCCTATTTTTTGCTTCTTTAAAGTTTCCAGTATGAAAATATGGTGGTTTCATAATATATATTTGGACAATCCATTGGTCACTTTCATTTACGGGTTCTCTCACTAGGCACTCTGATGTTTAGGATGATTTGACTTCTGGATAATCACTGCCACTTCTGGTGAAACGTCTGGACTTCTGGTTAAAGAGACTACAGTAAAAAAAAATGACCTTTGAATTTTAACATTACTCTAATGTGAATTTTGTGATGTAGAATAAGACTTGACTTCCAGTTAAAGGCTTTGCCACAGTCTTCACATTTGTAGTTTCTTCCCAGTGTGAATTCTATGATGTTGACTAAGATATGACTGTTTTTTTAAAGACTCTGCCACATTCCTAACAGTTCTAAGGTTTCTCTACAGTATGAATTCTGTGATGTCGATTAAGATGTGACTTCTGGTTAAAGACTTTGCCACATACTTTACATTTGTAAGGTTTCTGCCCAGTATGAATTCTTTGATGTTGAATAAGTTTTAAATTATAAATAAAGGCTTTTCCACATTCATTACATTTGTAAGGCTTTTCCCCAGTATGAAGTTTGTAATGTTTAGAAAGATTTGACACCCAGTTAAAGGCTTTGCCACATTCTTCACATTTGTAAGGTTTCAGGCCAGTATGAATTCTCTGATGCTGACTAAGACTTGACTTCACCTTAAAGGCTTTCTTACATTCTTCACATTTGTAAGGTTTCTCACCATTATGAACTCTCTGATGTTGGGAAAGGCGACACAAATATAGAAAGGCTTTACCACAGTCTGGACACATGTAAGGCTTTTCTCTAGTATGACTTCTTAGAGGTCGCGTCAACTGTGAATTCCAATAAAAGCCTTTACCATGCTCTCCACATTTACGCCGTTTCTTTCTCTGATGTTCATTAAGGCTTGAGCAGCATGTGTTATCTTTGCCATAATCTTTACAATTGTAAGGTTTCTCACCAATTGTCTGATATTGGAGAAGGTTTGAGGACTCCTCAATAGGATCCTGTGTAGATTTTTCATCTTCCTTTCTAATTCTCTGATGTTGAGAATGATTTGACACAAAGTTTAAACCTACCCCATGGTGACAATGTTTTGAATAATCATTTCCATTATGGACTAGGGGACTTCCCGTATGTTCCAATATTCCTCTCTGAGAACGTGTATTGGTAAAAATGCCACATGGATCTTTGCTAACAGATACATATTTATCTATACATGCAACACACATAAAATGGAGTTTTACCCAACATGGTTTACACACTGGATCAGTTTTTGCAGGAGAAATTTTACTAAGGATAATTGTCACTGCTCGGCCATCTTCATCGCAACAACTGTTGTGCCCTTCACATGCCTCTTGACATGTCTGATCTTTCAATAATTCTAAATTCTCAAAGGTGTCGATTCCATCTCCTCCCAGTCCCACATTTAGGAATAAATCTTCTGTGCCTGACTGTGGTATGCAGTCCTGGTCGTCTTGAGAAGACATGGCTGGGAGACAGCAAGGAATAATTACTGCACTCACAGCACTCAAGACAAAATAAAATATTTTAACTATTTTATACACAAAATTAATACCAAATAAAGACCCCCGGCCTGATGTTAGACAGGTAACATGAGCACTAGACAGCAACACACATGCTTATAAAAGGTGATGTCCTCAGGGAAAGGTAAATGCATAGCAAACAGAGAAAAAGGTATGATATAATCCTATAGCAAAAATACTGTTTCTGCTTGAGAACTTAGAAATGTTAAACAGTTGGGTTTTGGTATGCAGTTGAATGTAATTGTTTTCAGTTTAGATAAGGCTGAGTAACTTTTCAACATGGTATATAATCCCCATGTGACAAAAAAGATACCAGTAAAATACATGGAAAAGGAAATGGAAACAGAGAATGATGTCATATGTAACAGGTTGGGTGACAATGCTTTTTACAATGTTTGTAAATAAGATTACAAACCAGTATACCTCAATTAGCATATGAAGTGAGAGCAACTGGAGGGAAATCACCCACAAGAAAGGAAGAGAAGAATAATACAGAGCTGTACTAGGGAGGAAATGAGGTATAAAATAGCTGAGAACACAGGAATCATTTTTTAATAAAGTTAATGCCTTCCTTTCAGAAATACTTTGTGTGTAAATTAATTAAAAGTCCACATGAAAATGACAAATATGTCTGAAGGAATTAAAAATAAGACCAATTCAATCTTACCTATATGAAACTCAACACAGACATCAGCACACCATGTAGAACGTAAGGTTGGAACTAGATTCTATGAAAACTGATCCATGGAGTCACGTTGATCACACTAATATCAGAATTATATGATCTGAGTTTAAAGCCTCACAGGATGAAAAGAATGCCCCAAGAACATAACAGAAAACTACATGTATTGGGAAGCACTGTAATATAACACATGCACTAACATGAGGACCTGAATGTGTGCAGCACACAAAGACAGAACTGAATGCAGAAGAGGAAAACATAAGATCAAGGAGGGGTTCAAGCCCCAATTGCAACTGGAAGGAAAATAATGGTATAAAATCAGGAACCGGAGTTGACAAACAGGGGTGAAAAATAATTCTAAAGAAAGGTGTGGTATATACACAGGGTGGAATACTACTGAAAAAGGATACATCTGGCCATTTGCAACGACAAGGATGGAATATTGTGGGAGAATGATGCTCAGTGAAATGAATCAGAAGGGGAAAGACTTACTGGATGAATTCTCTCCTGTTTGGAATATGGAGAAACAAAGCAAAGAAACTGAAAATACAAACCAAAATGAACTCGAGAATTAAGACTGCAGAAGTGAGGGTACTGAAGAGGTAGGGGCACTGGCTGTGGGTACAAAAGTGGGAGTGGATTCAAAGATCTATGGTGAGGCCCATAAGTGCAGTGGTGGTGGGTGTGGTGGTGACAAACATTTGAGGTGATGAGAATCTATTCTCGAATCACATAGAGCAAGGTAAACTCGTGTTTCCTAGATTCTAAATAACTAAGAAATACTGAGACACTGAAAGGAAGCTAACTTCCAAAACATGTGGGATTCAGAAAATAACACTAAGAAGTAAATTTAAAGCATTAAACAATTACACTATCAATAAGAGGGATCTCACCTGAGCAACATAACTTCACACCTCCAGGAATTAGAAAAAGAATAATTTAAGCTCCATATTAGCAGAAAGGAGGACATTTAAAATGAAATAAAAAATACATAGATGTAACATCATGGCCAAAAAGCAGGTGCTTCTCCATGAAAGGAAGTCTGGATTTTGAAAGATCAACAAAACGGACAAAACCTAAGTTCAATTCAGTAAGAAGGAAAGGCAGAGGACTCGGTGTCCGAGAGGAGACGCCCCCAGGGAAAGTAAGACTAAGACTCCAGGACAAAATAGGAGCATGTCTGCAATCCCTGAAACAGAGCTTCCTAGACATATTTAGGATGCTTTCCTGTACCACTGAACCTGCCAGCTGCGGCCTCTGCCAGATTCATTCCACCTACCTGGGAGGAGGACGGGATTTGCACTTCTCTTCACATCCCAGGGCTCCACCTTTTGCTCCAACAAGACGACCAGGTCAGGCTTACACATAGCAAGACCTGTTTATTAGGACAGGTGATATGAGATGGCCTGCAGGTTTTCAAATTACCAATACAGGATTGTGCTCAGTAGAGCGGAGAATACAGAAGGTTCTAGAAAAGGATCACTGCAAATACTTTTTCTGACACCACCTTTACCAGAAATCATTTAAATTTTCAAATCCTGGGGCCTCCCTGGAGGTGCAAGGGGTTAAGGAGCATCCTGTGAAGCTGTCCGTGGCCTCTGTAGCGAGATTTCAATCCCTGGCTGGCCAGGGAGTGGCCTACATGGCGAGGTGGACGTTTCCTGACTCGACCACTGCTCCCCTCAGCAGTGTGCTTCGGTTGATCTGTTTGTTCTGTACCCGGCTCTGTCTCTGGTGAGTCATTTCACCCCTCACACCTCTGGCCTGAACCCCAGCTCTTGTATGCATAAATAAATAAATCTTTAAAGAAATAAATTTTCAATCCTGAGAACCATTTCCAGACATCTGAGTCATAGGAATGTGCAATAACACACTGATTTTAGCTTGTAATAAGGAACTGATTTTCTTGAATGAGCACTAATAGAGCAGGCTGCAGATCACCTAAGAGAGAAGTTTAAGTCATGATCAAACAGCATGAGACTTTCTTTCCAACAAACTCACACTGTTTTTCTGAAAATCAGGGATGTAAACATAGCCTACAAATCTGGACATCCCAGGAGCATACACACATAGCACAGGAAACGGTGAGGGCAGATGAGGAAATCTGGAGGGATATTCTCCTCACCCAAGGACGCCAGGTTCCTGTAGGTCTCTAACATCACGTCTCGGTAAAATTCCCACTGTGCCGGGTCCAGGTAGTCCTGCTCCTCCTGCGAGAATTCTACGGCCACATCTCTGAAGGTCAAGGGTTCCTGAAATCAAAATATACAGTTACCATGTGGCCAACAGCGGAGCTCTGAATAGGGTATGAGGTGAAAAGAGAGTTTTAAGAGTATCCTCATGGTGGCACAAAGGGTTAAGTCTCAGCACTATGAAGCTACGACAACTACCAAAGGATGAGTTGGATCCCTGACCAGGGATCTGACTCACATGGCGCAGCAGACCTCTCCTGTCTCCCTGCTGCTCCCCTCAGCAGTGTATTTCAATAGATCTGCCTGTTCTGCTCCCCACTCTGCCTCTGGTGAATCATCTCATCCCCCACCCAATGCCCTGACCTCTGGTTTACATATAAATAAGTAAAATAAATCTTAAAAAAAGGGAGACCTGGTTCTAAGAGAGAAGAATGCCCTTATGAGACCCATGTTTACACATTAACAGTCTAATGCACCCACTGAGACCAGAAGATCACATATACCCACAGAACCACCATGGACGCTATAATTTCAGTGATGTCAAATCTGACCCAGGGCACACATTTGTACAGCAGGGAGGCAGGACAATTGGAAAATTCATAGTAGACTGACCTGAAAGACTGGAAGGAAATTGTAAATAATGATCAAATACTAAGCAGAACAACAAGAAAACAATCATATTTGAACCCTTGGTGTCCATTATATATGTTGAACTATGTTACCACTTTTTACAATTGAATACATGATAAAATTTGTTTATTTCTCTGAAAGTATAAACAAGTTATGAAGAGAATGTGTGTGAAAAGACTGGCATTTCCATTGATATTCACACCAAAAAGAATGAAATAGCTGTGATTATTTCATTCAAGTTAAAGAAGGAGGGGCCTCTCTAGTGGCACAAGGGGTTAAGAGGCAGCACTATGAAGCTATCTGCAGCCACTGCAGCATGAGTTCGATCCCCGGCCAGGGAGGTGACCCAAATGGCGCAGCAGACCTCTCCTGTCTCGCCCGCTGCTCCCCTCAGCAGTGTATTTCAGTCAGTCTGCCTGTTCTGCTCCCTACTCTGTCTCTGGTGAATCCTCTCACACAACCCCTTCTGCCATACCCCTGGCCTGCAGCCCAGCTCTTGTATACATAAATAAATAAATCTTAAAAAAAAAAGTTAAAGGAGGTGAAGGACCTGAACACTGAAAATTATAAAACTCTAGTAAAGGAAACAAAAGATAAGAAGAAATAGAAAGATGTCCTGTGCTCCTAGGTGGGAAGAATTAACATCATAAATGGTTTATTGTCCAGAGCTATTTACAGAGCTAATACCTATCCACATACCAAGGAGGTTTTTTGTAAGAAAAGAGAACAATCACTGCATTTATGTGAACCCACAGAAGGTCCCAAATAGCAAAAAAAAAATCTTGAGAGAAAAAGTGAAATGTAACGATCACACTTCCTGACTTCAAAATATATTAAATGGCAATGGTAATGACAACATTATTTTACTGGAACAAAACCAGAACTCAGAGCAATGGAAGGCAATTAAAAACCCAGAAAGCAAATAATATAAATACGAAGAGTTCATCTTGGACAAAGGAGCTAAAATCATACAATTTAGACAAGACAGCCTATTTAATAAATAATACTGGGATGGGGACCCCTGGCGGCAAAGGGGTTAAGAGTCAGTGCTATATATACAGCATGGCCATTCCAGGCCAGAGAGCTGACTCACATGTGGCACAGCAAACCTCACCTGTCTCCCTCACTGCTTCCCTCAGCAGTGCATTGCAGTGGATCTATGTGTTCTGCTCCTTAATTTCTTTCTGGTGGACCCTCTCAAGCCCGGAACATCTGGTCTACACCCCAGTTCTTCCATGCATAAATATATCTTCCTAAAAAATGGTTTCAGGAAACATGTATAGTGACTTGCAAAACTAAGAAGCAAGACCCATTCAAAACTCCATACAGAAAACTAATTCCAAATGGCTGAAACGTTTGGACATAAGAGCCCAAAGCATGAAGTACTGAAAGCAAATAAGGGGTACACTATAGGACAGCTGCTACAAAATGCATTAGGGAACACAACCCCAACACCAAGGGAAAGAAAAGCAAAATTCAACATGTGGGACAACACCAAACCTAAAAGCTTTTGGAACTCAAAAGAAACCAGCATAGAAACAGAAAGGCACCCTATAGAATATAAAAAATAATTGCATGTCACACATCTGACAAGGAGTTCATTCCAAAATTTATAATGTATCCGGGCCTCCCTTGTGGCGCAAGGGGTTAAGACACAATGCTAGGAGGCTATTCCCAGTCACTGCAGCATGAGTTTGAGCCATTAGAGCAGTACAGTCCCTGCAGATAACGGTGCAGAGATTTCTTAAAGAAATAAAAATAGAAATTCCATATGATCAGCAATACTTCTATTAAGTTATTTACCCCAACGTGAAAACTCATTACAAGATTCATCTATACATAAGAGCAGAGCAGCACTGTTCCCAACTGCCCAGCTAAGCTAAAGAAAACAAATCACTCACCAGAGATTTATCCATTGTCCACTGCTCTCAAAGATGCCAGAGGACTCTGGAGGCGGCGCTGGGAGAGGTGATGGAATCCTGCAGGAAAGGACTGAGGCAGCTGGTCCCGGGTCCTGGAGTCTCCTGTCCAGAGCGCTCCACACACTGCCTGGGAGAGACCAGAGTCACTGCACGTGACAGCTGTGCTTACACTCTGAGAAGGAGCAGGAAAGGACCCACTAGTCCATTATTAATACTATTTGGGTTTACAATTTACCGTAAGTTAATAAAAACTGATGATTCCTAAGACTGACTAGTAGTCCATGTGAAGAACTAAACAAAAGTTTCAAAGATGATTAATCACTTAAAAAGGGCTTTCCCTGGTGGCCCAGGGGGTGGAGCCCAGCGCTGTGAAACCGTCCGCAGTATCTGCAACACGGGTTTGATCCCCGACGGCCAACCCGGGAGAATCCCACATCTCGCAGCAGAAATCGCTTGTCTCGCCCACTGCTGCCCTCTGCAGTGTATTTCAGTCAGTCGGCCTGTTCTGCTCCCCGCTCTGTCTCTGGTGGATCCTCTCACCCTTCTGTGCATCTGGCCTGTACCCAGGTTCTTGTACACATGAATAAATAAATCTTAAAAAAAAATCACTTAAGGGCCTCCCCGGTGGTGCAGCGGTTGAGCACTGGGTTGCGAAGCTGCCCGCAGCCTCTGCAGTGCCGGTTCGATCCCGGGCTGCTCCCCAGCCACCAGAGGAGGGTCCCACATGGTGCACAGACCTCTCCTGCCGCCCGCTGCTCCCCTCAGCAGTGTACTTCGTCAGTCTGCCTGTTCTGTTCCCAGCTCTGTCTCTGGTGAATCCTCTCACCCTCCCGCGCTTCTGACTGTACCCAGTGCTTGTATGTATAAGCAAACAAATAAATAAATAAATCTTAAAAAAAAATTTAGAAAATGAATTAAAAAAAATTGGACACAATTTCAAAGGAAATGATGCACCTTATGCACTTCTTTGGCAGGACGGACACTCCCAGGAATGGTTCCGAGAGCCCGGCTTCATGTCCTCGTACACCCCGGTGACCATGCCCTGGATGTGCCTGGGGTGTCCCCCCAAGGGAAAGAGGGCGCACACGCACAGGAGGAAAGGTACTTTTCCAGGGGTCTGGCCTCCGGGACACCGTCCTCCTGGGGAGACCCGGGGTCACGGGCAGGCACGCGGCGGGGCGGCGGCCACGATAAACGGGCACAAAGGACGGGAAACTCTTACCCCCCAGGCCGGTCAGGGCCGGGACCTCCGCAGCCCGCGTGTCCTCGGGCCACGCCGCGAGGGACGCGAGACCCCGGAACGCAGCCCCATCCGCGTCCGGAGGGAAACGGCGCGCGTTCTCCAGGGTGAGCTCGGGGTCTCCGGGAGAAAACGCTCGGGGACCCGCGGAAGCCACACCCGGGGCGGGCGCACGTGGCGGGGGTTCCGCAGCCCACGACAGCCGTCCCAGGGCGTCACAGCGCACGGAACTCCCGGAAACGCGGAGGGGCGGCCGTCGGGGGGCTCGCCCGTGTCCAGGGCGGGGACCCCGCTCCCCTCGCCCCCAGCCTCGCCCCCGCGGACCCTCCTGGCGCCTGTTCCGGGCCACGGGCCCCCCTCACCCGCCTCAGGCCTCCCCCGGCGACTCCCCGCCGCGCCCGCCCCCCGCTCCCGCACGCGGGCCCTCAGCCTCACCCCAAGCCCAGCCTCGGCGACAAGGCCGCTCGCAACCCGCGGCGGGGGAGCAGCGACCGCGGAGGCCCCGGGCCCCGGAAAGACGGGGAGGACGCGGGGCCGCGCCTGCGCAGATGAGGCCGGCGAGGCAGGACGCCCCTGGGCAGAGCCCTGGGCGGGAGCCGCGTGTCCTCAGGAGACTACATTTCCCACAATCCCGCGCGCCGCGCGTCCGGGAGCGTCAGGGCGCGCGTCCTCCCCCAGTGGGGCTCAGGGACATATTGGGTGGTGGGGCCACGTGAGCGCGGCCTTGCAGACCGCCCAGCGCGCCGGAACCGAGTCTGTTTGGCGAAGAAAAAGAGGAGAGTGTTTTGATGCCAGAGAAGTGGGTTCCTCTCACTCTGCTCTCTCCCTGCGCTTGGGGAGCTGCACCCCCAGGAGGGTGTTTAGGGCACACTCCCTGGACAGCATCTTGAATAAACCCATGTGAAGGCCTTTCTTGTGTCGTAGCTTTGCCTTTCTGGGCGCCAGTGAGAAACCGGTTTGGAGGCTCCCAGATGGGACTCTGTACCCTCAGACCCCATTCTCTCCATGCACCGTGTTGTTAGGAGTTGGCGCCTCAACTCCTTCCGGGGTTCCCAAAAACTACACGGAGCCAGAGATGCAAAAGCAAAAAAGCTTTATTGCTAGCTTAAGCTAGGGCCCGACTCTGCCTGGTGTACTGACACAGCAGTCTCATCAGGTTGAGAGAAGGACCCCTTTAAGGGTGACAAGTTGTTTTTTATACTCTGTTACAGCAGAAAAAAAGGGACCTTTCATATGAGAAAAAGGGGACCTTTCACAATGGGGACCAAGTTCAATCTGATTGTGTACCTTTCTTTGGCAGCCTTTAAGTTTCGTTCACCCTGGCCTTGTGGTTCTTGTGGTTTTACCCTGCAACGGACAGCTGTGCTCTTTAAAACGGTCGTTTTTCCTTAAAATGGCTGCTGTCTTGCTATGTTTAGTCCTTTAACATCTTACAGTGTGAGGGCTTAGAGTTGCTGGAGGCCTCCAGGCTGAGCCAGGGTCCTTCCACCTGTATCTTAAAAGTTCTGATTTTGAGGGGCTCGCAGTCTCCTCATTTCTCGCTAAATGGGCTTTTAACGACATTTTCCATCCTGCCAGACAGATTTTAAGAGTTACTGCATCCTGACCAAAAACTAAGCAACTGCTGTGTGACCCACTACCAGCACTGCCTGCCTGTGACGGACATCAGGCCCAGAGACACACACTCTCTTCCCACACATTCTGCCATTCCTAAATAATGCCTCCTAATATATTTACATGTAGTGTTCAACATGTATCACAGCCATGAGAGTGTTCGTTGTATAGGCCGTGAAAATGGACTGTTAAATTGGGTACGATTTTATAGGTCCTGATTGAGAATTGCCGAGGCATTGCTTCTCATTGTACATGTGACTAGTTAAAGTAGAAATTGTTAAGAGTCACGGTTCAACAGAAGACCAGACAAGGAATGGAAATAGAGGAATTTATGACACAGAGATACTGATAAATGTCCACTCACACCTTGTGCAGCTATGTGGATGCGTCAGAGTTCAGAAGGAGAGAGTTGCAGGAAATGGGGCATGTGAATGTATTAGGCTACCTAACTGGAGTGCTTCAACTTTTCTGAACTGAGATTATATTATTTGAGGTAAACCTAAAACAGTAAGACTATTGCCCACTCTGTGGAGGTCCAGGGCCAATCATGGGGAGGGCCTGTGAGGGACTACCATTGCCAATATGTGCAAATGAGCTCATGTAAAGAAATTATATGTATTTGTGATTCTTCAGGGTGTGATTGAGGCAATGTAGCAAGATCCTCTATGAGGGTACCATGGAGTGTTGGACGAAATTTCTTGACAATACTTCTACATAATTATCAATATACACATTACAACGTCCACTGTTACTAAACAGACAAAAGTGTAGTTGTTGCAAAATACAATCAAAACTATTTTAGATTTGAGGCCTGTGTGAATGGAGCCTGACACTGTGTTGACAACCAGTTTATTGTTCCTATAGTTTACCAAATCCTTGAACAAGGAGGAATTGGTTAATGTTGATGAAGGATAATGTAATCAGGGTCTCCCTGGTAGCCTAGAAATTAAGTCTCACCCTTATTACTGCTAAGGCCTGAGTTTGATCCAGGCCAGGGAGCTTACCCACATGGCACAACAGACCTCTCCTTTCATGCCCGCTGCTCCTCTTCACAGTGTATTTCATTTACTCTGCCTGTTCAGCTCCTAACTCTGTCGCTGATGAATCCTCTCACCAACGGCACCACTGGCCTACATTCTTGTTCTTCTATGCAAAAAAAAAAAAAATACAAATAAAGTTATCAAATATACCTGAGGATATACACATAAAAATCAGTCGGGTTTATGGGCCTCCCTGGTGGCAGAAGGGTCAAAGTCTTAGTGGTATCAAGCTGTCGCTAGACACAACAGCATGAGTTCGATCCCCAGGCAAGGAGCGGACCCACATGGTGCAGCAGAACTCTCCTGTCTGGTCCGCTGCTCCCCTTCACAGTGCATTTCAGCAGATCTGCCTGTTCTTCTCCCTACTCTGTCTCTGGTGAATCTTCTCACCATCGCCCCAACCCAACCTCGGCTTCAACCTCTGATCTTATATGCATAAATAAGTAATTTTTTTTTAAAAAAATCAGCTTTATTGAAACATACTTAGTTCAGCTACCAGTGTATGCTCTTTGGTCAAAATCAAGTTGCAGGCATTTAAGAAGCATTCTTGTTCTTCTGATTCCTGAATCCCATTGTTGGTGGTCAACATAGAGGCTCATTACTTAGCTAATGTGCACACACACAACTCTATGCTCTGTGTTTGGAAAGTCACCTGTTCTTTCATCATATGCCTGTGAAGATTTCTTTTGGAAATGTTAAATAATAGTCCTGATCCCTATTACTACCATGAAGATACATCAGGATTTTAATCAGCTGTCAGCATATTTCCATAAGGAGAAATTGATGAAATGATTTGAACTCCAGCATGTTCCTTTGTCTGACTTTTTTGCCAACGATGAAGGCCATACTCGTCTTGGTGATTTAATTTTTTTTAAAGATTTATTTATTTATTTATACAAGCACTGGGTACAGTCAGAAGCGCGGGAAGGTGAGAGAATTCACCAGAGCCAGAGCGGGGAGCAGAGCAGGCAGAAGGACCAAAGTACACTGCTGAGGGGAGCAGCGGGCAGCAGGAGAGGTCTGTGCGCCATATGGGACCCTCCTCTGGTGGCCGGGTAGCAGCCGGGGATGGAACCGGTGCCGCAGAGGCCGCGGGCAGCTTCGCAACCCAGCGCTCATCCGCTGTGCCACCGGGGAGGCCCCCGTCTTGGTGATTTAAATCAATGTTTTGGGTCAACTAGAAGCAGTACCTCCATTCAGAGGTTCTTGATACATGGCACAGTACTGTCCTAAATTTACCTGCAAGATAGACAAG